GCGCCCGGGCTGGTTCGCGGGGCCTCTGTGCCCCGGGGCGGCTGCACAGAGCTGCGCCCAGGCCGCCCCTGCCCGGGCTGCGCTGCTGCCGCGGGCGCTGCCTTCCTGGAACGGGGCCTCGCGTTGCTCCCTGTGGAATTTTGTGATGCTCCTTGTCAGCCTCTTTCAGCAGTCCGTCCTAAGCCCGGGGTGGAGTTGCTCTCTGCGTGCCTGTTGACTGCATACCCCAAATTCCTGTTCTCCGCCAAGATGATGAGCGTTCATTTCAGCGTCTCCAATAGATGATTAATAGTAGTATTAAACAGGTCACAAGCCAATATAGACCACTGCACTTGGAATCAGCTCCCAGGCAGAGCACGAGCCATTAGCCACTGCCATTGAGCCCAACAATCTTGACAAGGAAGAGCCTGTACTACCTGGTGGTGTAGGAGAGTGTGTCTTAACCCTGCCATGCAGGTCGCTAGACATTTCAATAGTGCTCTTTATGCATGATCACAGAATCACAGAATGCTTAAGGTTGGAAGGGACCTCTAGAGATCATCTAGTCCAACCCCCCTGCACACGCAGGGTTACCTAGAGCACGTGGCACAGGACTGCGTCCAAGCGGGTTTGGAAGATCTCCAGAGAAGGAGACTCCACAACCTCTCTGGGCAGCCTGTTCCAGGGCTCTGTTATCCTCATGGTTGAGAAATTTTTCTGGGCTACTGTTTCTCTGCAGGTGTTAAATGACTCAGATCCTTACTTGTAAAACTGATTTGCAGTGTTTTTTCTCTTTACCAAAAGAATCTGAAGGATGGATTAATATGTAAAAGTCCATAATGTTTAAGTACAGTAGTAAGAGTGCTGTATACCTGCCCAGAGGGGACATATGAAATGTACATGTGACAGATAATATACCTGGCACATGACAAAGCCATTTAAGAAAAAATCTCTGTAAAGAATTGGGATTTTAAGAATTCTAGGTATTTTATCATTATGCAAGTACACTCATAATCTATAATTGCAACATGAAAAGTGGTTTTGTTATCATCTTTCTTACTGAAGTTCTTCTTTGTCCTAGGTGCAGTAGCTAAATACGTTGCCCCATTTTATAGAAGAAATATGTAACAGGTGGATAAAACATGAGGAGCAAGAAGTGAGATGATTGTAGCCTGTACAGAATCTAAATAAGGCAGCAAAGGTTGTGTATTGCAATCCTCATCAGTGGCATCCTGTATTTGTAAGCACAAGGTTTCTGTTTTCAGAATCTTTGAAGAGCTCCCTTGAACTACTTGTATATAAGCCACTTATCATCCTTAATTCAAATACGCAGACATATTCTCAAAGTTGCATACGTGATCTGTGCCAGGAACAGCCTTGCAGTCATAATTTTTTTTCTGATGTTATCAGCTGGCAGGGTGCATTTTAATGTGTCTCAACAGGTCGGTTGCTTTTTTAACTTGTTACTCCCCTTACACATGGAACTGGAATTTGTGAACTGAAATCAGACACTAAATAAGCAGAATAAGTAACCTAGATAATATTCCAAAAGTGCAGAAATAAGAAAACTTGTGATGGAATGAATCTCTTTTCTGGGTCAGCCGTCTGGTTCTTCTCTTCCTTTGAGGTTTGTAGTCATCATTTAGTCTGGATTTTCCTTAGCAGCTTTTGGCAGACTTTGCTTTTTTAGAATAGTGCACATGGATATGGGAGACCATGTCCTAGGGGAGGTGGTAGGGAGTGATCTTCACCCAGCTATCTTTTAACAGTTTTATTAAAGAGGATTTATTTCAAAGGCAGAGGCCTAATCAACTTCATTCTCTTCATACTGGCACTCTAAGATTTGTGAAACCCTGGAGAGGGAACTGTGGAAAGGCATCAAGAAGATCTTAGATGTGAACAGGAAGGGCAGAAAAAGATTTAACCAGATGAAATGATTGGCAGTATGTTAGGCTAGAAAAGCAAATGTACGTGGCAGGGAAACTGTGCTGTTGAGAGTAGCCTTGGGAAAAATTTTGACTTTGTGCTGTCCTAATGTTGCACAGGTCTGACATAACATTTCCCCAATTAAGAATATGTGTCTTCCCTAACTCTGTGCAGAGAATGTTTTCATGAGAGTCCCTGTATGTACCTCAAGTGGGACAGACCCACTTACACTGTAGGCCTTGAGAAGTAATATTCAAAATTAATTAGAGAAAAGGCCATGCTGAGAAAGACATCTACATGAGAAAAAGTCATATTGAAAAAGACATTTGCATGAGAGACAAAAGGTATGTAAATGGGAGTATTCCCTAATGCAGAAGCATTTGGCGGCTGAATGTGCAGATATCAAAGTCAGGAAGGAAGACAAAGGGAGTGTAAGAGCTGTGGCACTGCGTGCAACAGGCCACATGCAAAATGCTGTGTAAACTGGGACATTGGCCTATTGGGCAGAATCGCAGGATGGATGTCTGTATTGAGAGGAGAGTAAAACAAATGAGCAACGTGCTCCTGGAGGTATGAAACATGGCACTTCTTTGTAAAAAAAAAAAAAAAAGTCATTTTTTAAAATACTTTATAAATTGTATCATATGATGAGATTCCGGAATATGATACATTTATCTTAGGGTATGTGAAACTTAAAAGAACTAATCTATTCCATATTGTTTCTATACTGATACAGTCACAAAAATGTAAACAGTCAATTCTTTGCTGTTACTCTACTGAGAAGCTCAGCAATCACTGAACTAATATTTTACTTAAACTAAATAATACTTTCCAGTATGCTTATTTCAAATTTACTTCTCTTCCAAAGAAAATCAGTCTGCTCCGACATCTGTGAAGTGACCGACAGAGCAGGCACTGTTCAGCATTGAGAAGAGAAGGTTTTGGGGAAATCAGAATCTTCTCAGTGGTGCCCAGTGAATGGACAAAAAGCAATGGCCAGAAATGGGTACAGGACATCTAACTTGAACATGGGAACAAGCTTTTATTTTTTGAGGTTGGTCGAACACTGGAACAAGTTGCCCATAGAGGCTGTAGACTCAACGTCTTTGAAGACAGTCTGCACCTGACTGGACATGGCCATGAGCAGCCTGCTCCAGGTGACCCTGTTTGGAAGACAGTTTTGGACCGGGCAATCTTCCAGACCCCTGGCCAGCTTCAGTTCTGTGGTTCTGAGACTCAGACAGAAATCTCCACAGTATTCCACAGAGGGTTTCGATACAACAAATAGCAAGAGACTTAGACCTGGTTTCCTAAGTCATTCAGGAATTTCTGAACCTGAGTTCTTCCCACTTTCAGTAAGACTTACATTTCCTAAGAAATGTAAATCAGACTTTTTCTTTGCTTTCAAACCTGGTGTCTGCAGTTCCTGGGTTTGTTATCATCTTTGGCATTTTTTGCTGAAGGATTTCTTATGTCTTGAATGCATGACAAGACTTGTTTGCTTAAGAAAAATCCCGGTCATGCGGTCAGACAGGCAGAAACCCAGAATGTAAAATGTTCTGTTTTCTGTTCTTTCTTTCTCATCTGTAGGCTTCTTTCCATCCACCAGCTGAATGTGCAGTCATCTTGCCCGCAGTGATGAGCACTTCTGTGGAAGCATGAAAAAAAATCCAGTTAATTAACAGATTCTTTCCTATTACTGATGAGAACTGCTTATGTGCATCTGACTGTCAATTAATTAAAGTAGATGCATGACATTACTGAGCATGTAGTACACTACACCTCACTGTGCTTTATTTGATTTTGTTGAAAAAATATTTCTTTGATGAGGAATGAGTCTCATTTGGTACCAGAAACCACTTTAAAGATTAATTTCTGTGTCAATTTTCAGTCAACAGTACTTTGCAAATTGCTGCTGCAGCCAATAATTCTTAGGGTTCCTGTAAGTTTTCATCCAAGTTAAAAAACCCTAAATCTCCACGTCTATGCTATGTGAAACAGCATAGATCAGATTGCTTTGGTTTCGGTTAAATTGTGCTTGTGTGGTGGATATGAAACAAACACTTCAAACTCTTGATAATTCTGATGGGAAGAACTTAATGCTGACTGGAAGTAATCAGGAGACATCCTGGGCTTGTCATGCAAATACCTCCTCCTGTGCGGAAGAACTGCCTTCAGACAGAGCAGTAGTAACCCAACATTCATTTTACTGAAATGGTATTTTTTCTTCCAGTTTTAATTTTGATTAAATACTTTATCAGATGGCAAATATTCAGCTTGAGTTTTCTTTGTGGAGTGGCAGACTATTTAGCTAAGGCTTCTTAATGACTCAGATACAATTTGATGCACAATTTATTGATGTGCAGTCTAGTTCTCATCAAAAACACAAATCTACAGAGGTCCATCTGCATCTCCAAAGAGTCTGACCTTAATGACACTAGAGGGAGCCCCGGGGCTGCAAAAAAAAAATCTGCCTATAACAACTTGCTAAGTAAATAGTGCCTTATAAATGAAAGTTTATCTGGAACTTCAGCTTCTGGAAAAAATGCTGGAGCTATTCAGGTGAGACCACACAATATTCAAGTTCTAAATTCCAAGTTTTCCAACACTTCATTTAGCAATCTAAGTGAATTGAGAACAGGCATTTTTAATAAGGAATCCATTTTTTGCAGTTAAGAGCATATATGAAGTTCAAAATGGAAAAAAAAAGCTGTTTATGCTATGGTCCTGGTACTTGAAATTAGAAGGGTCCTGATCTGCAAAATCTGCACTGTCTCTGTGATCTCTTATCGAAGTCTTATGAGTTAGACTATCTGACTTTTCAATCAATCCTGACTTTTCAGACTGGACAGCTGAATTCTTATGAAGTCAACAGCAGCTGTCTGCACTCGCAATCTTGAAAGGCAGGATACACATTTGCAATAAAAAATGGGCTTTCCAAAAGTACATGAGTGAGCTGGGAATACTACTTACTTTGTGATACAAGTTGATGCTTGTTCCTAAACCATTTTAGTGGTCTGAAAATTCAGTTGTGGCTATCTAAAAAGAAATACATTTGCACCAAGAACTGTCAAAAGTTTATCTGATGTCAGTGGGACTGGGAATACTGTTTATGCTGTAGGAGATAAAATCGTGCTGTGCAAGCCTAAAGCTAGGCAGAAAGATCTGCTCTGTCTGAAGGAGGAGGCTAGTATTGGAATCTATTAAGGATGTAAAAAAAAAAAGTCCTTTCTTCCCTTGGATAGCCTGTGCCTCAGACCAAGACTCCTTAGCCTGACTCAGTTCTTTACCATCCAGCAAGAGCCAATGTGTTTGGTCTGGAGGACACTGTTCACCATCTAACAGGAAAATATAGGCATATCTGGTGCCTTCCTGGGAGAACAGAGCTGTATGTGGTAGAACGTTTTAGACCACAACAGCTGATCCTTCAGGCTGTAGCCTGATGGTTTCCAGTTTGGGAACTTAAAAAATACAACAGCATTATAAAATGGTGTTCTGTGATACCAGCCAAATCTTTAAATATCAGCCCAAGTTGATTGCACATGAGACTTTACATGTCCAGAATTGTTTATAGGTTGCCCTTCTTTTGCCTAGATTACATCTCCCATAATTTCTTTACAAAGCCCTAAAATCGGGGTGTGCTAGTCTGCCAAAATGCATTAGTTGCACAGTAAGGAGTGTTACTGAAATCAAACTATGGCTGTTAAGACAAGTGTAGGAAGTCCACTAAATGATTTCATAGTCGTAGTTATTGCTTTTTAAAATTTTCATTGTTTCTATATATGCAGTCGTGTTTCTTTATCCCAGGTATTTACTAGCATACATAGGCACAAGGGTTTGAATTGCCACACTAGCTTTAATAGAAATACTCTTCCCTTCAAGTTCAGTGTTTAGTGTTACAATTTAGCGTCCTCTCTTCCACAAATTCATATGCAAGTCTCAGGTCACTTCTTTCAAAGGAACCTCTTTGAAGCTTCCACTCCCGAAGTTTCCCCAGAGATAATCTGTCAGAAGTAGGAGTCTTGAACTTGAGCTTCAACCCCATCTGCCGAAGCAAAAGCCAAGAAAACAGCAAAGCAAAAATAGAAATACAGCTATAGCAAAACTATGCGAGTTATCTTAACACAGGGAGGAGACTGGAATTTAGCCTCTGTGTAGGTTGAAGGAGGCTGAGGAGCTCTAAGGAATGGTGCTGAAGAAAAAGCTTGCATATCCCTGGCTTCAGCATGCTGAAAAAAGAAGCAACAGCCAAGGGTTCAGTTCCAGGATACTTGTCTCCCTGAAGACATCTGCAGAAATTAAGTTCCTGTGTTTTAGTGAAAAATGTTGTCTCATTTCACAACATGGCTGAGATGATAGTGACTTCCTGAGGATCAGAGACTGCAACAGCATATTTTCCAGTATCTGTATAAGAATGATGAATAAAAGTAATGAAAAGAAAAAAACGACTTTTATTCAGTTATCTTTTGAGTTTTATTTTTATGACACACTTTGCTTCCCTGACTAAAGTAGTTTTACAAGTCCTTTACAAGCATTTTTTTATGCCACTCCAGTTGATTGGTAGTTTTATTATTGTTGCTTGTAACTCTCAAGACTCCTTTGGTTAGACATTTGCTATCTAAGAAAATCATTTATATTCATCCACGCTCATCTGTTTTTCTCACTTGTCTGCGCAAACAATCCATATTCTTCCAATAACAGTTATACATCTTTTTCCTTCTAGGTGATTGGATTGGTGGATTGGTGAAAATCTCAATGGCATCATTTTTATTCCTATTAAACATCTGGAGCTTTTGCATGTGCTGCTTTGAACATCGTTAGAAGTGAAAGAAGATGTATTTGCAGATGTTTTTTGTACCGCTTTGCTTTTAAGAGTACTTATCATATTGCAGCTGCGGTAAGTTCACACCATAACTAAGCAGAAAGAAGTCTTTTCTTGTAAATCAATACCCTGTGCTGCTAGCAGCTTTTACATCTGCCTTGGAGTCCTTGCATCAGTCTTATGTAGATGTTGCTGGGCTTGCTATGTTCTCCCTACCTCCAACTAGCTATTTTTGTTGTTTTCGTGATTTAACTGTTCTGCTATTAAAGCACATGTTTTAGAAACGATGCACTTCTTTATTTCTTTCTGTTGGCCATAGGTACAGAATGATGTAGGCTGTGGGTACATAATAACACAGGATGGAAGGGACCACCTGAATCATTAAATCCCACTCCCAGTTACTGCAGACATTACATCATATAATACTCCCTGTTATTCCTTTGTGGAGCTCTGTGTTAAAACCTTTCAGATGCATTGCTCTCACCCCTGTCCCATGCCTGGCTGCCCCTGAGCCGGGTTACTCTTAACTGGAAGCTTCTAATTATCAACTGAAGACCACTTTGGCCACTTTGTCTCTCATTTGTGCCAACCTTGCTTTTTAGTCTGAACAGTTACCAAGCGCTTGGTGTTTAGCCCTTTCCCTAGAGTAGTTATAGATAGCATTTTTTTATTTATGTGTTCTCCTCAGGCTTGGCTGAACAAGCTGCCTGCATCCAGGCTCCTCTCATATAATAGACTCTCCATACTCCGAGTCTTCCTGTCAGCCTTCTGTGCATCTCTTCTAGTTTGAAACATCTTTCTTAAAAACACGTGACCAGAATTGCACACTGCAGGCCCAGATCTGTTCTTATCAATGCCTCATCTCACACCTTCCTCTTGTACCTTCAGAAAATACATCTCTATGTTACTCCATGGACCAGATCTAGTGGAGATCCATTTACCACTAAATCTGGCAAAGAAGGGGATGGCTACAGCAGTTGTCACATGAAATGGCTGTCATCATTCCTCCACTCAGGGATTCCAGCTTTTCCCCTTTGTGCTGACTGAAAGGGACTCCCTAATGGTGGTTTAGACTGACAGGGATTGCCAGACTAGTGCCTATGCTCCCCTACGTTACGTGTGAAGCATAGCTGGAGCTGTTGTTGGCCTTGTACCACAGGAGCATTTATCACACTTCCTAAGGCAACCCTCATTACAGATTTGGGTTCAGAACCCTCTGCCAGTTCTCCTGTGACACTTCATCATTATCATTGACTTGTCTTGAGTAATAACCAATGGGACAGGAAATAGGTCTGATGAGATAATGAAGAAATAGTACAAATGGTAGACTGAAATGAGGTGTGCTGGACTGCATTGCAGAACTGATGTTATAAAAAAGTCCTTCTAAATTTCGTATATATTGAGGTATGTTTCTGTAATGGTTAATATGGTTATGGTCAGTATCTTATATAATTTGTATATGTTTTGCTGTGGAAGTGAGTTTGGAAGAGTGATTTGAAGACTGTGATGCTGGGGAGTCTTGCATCAGGTAAAAGGACCTGGGAAAACACAGGAGGGATTTTGAACGAAGAGGAGATAAAAAGAATATCAAAATAGGGCTCCTAACATCAGCAAAAATGTCCTGAGGTGGATAGGCATGAGACTTAATCCAGAAAACTTGAGTTGAGTAAGCATAGAAACATAGAGAGCTGGGAGGTCTTGAAGTGACATGACCTTGGTAAAGGTTGATTTCTATCGGCTATAATTTTGACATACTGGAGGGACAAGTCATTACACAGCCTCAGTTTTAGTCACTCTGTGGCTAACTTGTCATCCACAGTAGTTTAATGTGTCTCCCAGACAGGACAGTTATGTGAGCAAGATTGTTTATATTTTTAACCCATTCGTTTTCAGAAGAGGAATGGAATCAGTTTTGAGAGATATCCTTTAACACTTCTGGCATAAGTTTGACTCATCCTGTCTGGCAGGTCCCTCAGTGCTCTAATACAGCCAATATGAACACTTGGTCCTGGTGTGTGGTATTTCAACCCTGAGATTGCATTTGGAAGCAGCCTCGTTATTGCATCTCATTCCACTATCCAGACCAACTGAATTGGAGCCAGTTCACTCCGAGCTGTTACTACTGAGGAATGTTTTAGTGGTTTGGTGGCCCCTGGGAGCTGGGAGAGAGAAAGTCATATTTTGAAACTGATCCAGACTAGGATTTTGGACAAGCCCAGATCTGCAAAATGGCAGCAGTGATACCTCATTATATGAGATATCAACTACTTTAGATGAAGGATGTGAGATACTAGACTGCTACCTGCTTGCTGTTAGCAGGCAATAAGCCTATCAATTCCCCACCCTTTAGCAGCACACACAGTCTTGCATCACACTACATGGATGCTTCAAGGTTAATGTGTGTTACTCTGTGTAATTTACCAGTTGTATGTGGCTGCACACTGTTCCTCTGTACCTTTTTTTAGACTGAACACTGATGGAAGATTGCCTGCTTGCTGCTATTTTATCTAAGGGAATTTGGTGCAAAAAGTAATGATAACAACAAGATCAACTGAGAGACATGAACGATGTCTCGCTTAGAATTTGCCATAGCCAGGTTACTAACCTGAGTTCATGAAGGACTGCTCTGACAAAAGAACGAAGGTTCAGGCTCAGACCGATCACAAATCGGTAGGAACCATCTGCAATGTCTTTTAATGCAAAATATGTATCAAAATATTATGACAGTTAATTTCTCCTTTCATCAGTTATCTCAGATCTGTCTAGTCCTGCTGTTCTTTTGCTAGTTGTCTGGGATTCTGGTGGGATTTAAATTGTTTTAAATTTCACTAGTTTATTAATGATAGCTCTCATACAAGCAAATTTTCTCCACGAATTCCATGTAACCAGCCCAGCATCAGCTCTCTCAGTGTTACTAAAACCTGGGCACTTGTTCTAGAGAAAGTTTCTAAACTTGCAGTGACACTCTGAGCACTCGGTATGGGACTGTTGTCCACAGCAGGATATTGATGCAGCAGTAGGAAACAGTAGCTGTGACTGGAGACCCACCTTCACTCTGAATTGCAGCAGAATACAAACAGACCTGAGTTTGTATTAAGAAAGAGCAGAAATAAAGTAAGATATGCTGAGTGCCAGTATCAATTCCCAAACTGTATCCTGGCTGCTTTGAATATATGTTCACTCTTGAAGCAGTTTCAAAGTAGAAAATTCTTCACAGCAGCACCACTGGAGCCAAAAGCAAGCCAGAGAGAAATTGTTCCAAAACAGAAAGAACCTGAATGCCAATATTTGGTCTGTCTTTTGCACAGAACGATGAAGGGTCTACAAAATATTTTGGAGGATGTATATGAGAATAAGAAGAAAGAGCTGTTGATGGAGAAAGAAAGGACAAAAAAAAAGCATAAGGGAAAAAAGAAGTAAAATAGA